CTTTGTGAAAATTCGTCAGATCAACTTTTTCACGAACATTTTTGCTGTTGCTAGACGAACCAATGAGAGACCGCGTTGCAAAGAGGTGCTGCTAATTCGGTAATTAGCCTCGGTAATTATGAAACACTGTAAGTTTGGCCGAGCCTTTTTAAGGCTTCTTAAGTTAGCGGCGCAGCGACTTTCAGGCCATTTTTGCTAATGGCTGTCACCGAGTTCGGGAATGACTAATTACATCTTCATTACGGTGAGATTCAAGAACTTTCATCATCTCTCAGCCTCCGTCATTAGCCAAAAATGGAGCTGGAAGAAGTTCGTTATGCTCACACCGAGGTGCCCTGCCCCTCGAATATAAAATGAGCAAGAATAAGAAATAAGTCTCTGAAAGCCATTTGCGCAGCGTGCGTCATTTCGAGCTCGGTTCATTATAACATATATGCAATGGTTACTGTGAGAAATTATTGTCGCATGGGGGAGTTTCAAACCGACAGTTATTAATCGCCCACCAATAACCCCTTTAAAAAAATTAATCCTTTTTTCGTCAGCAGTCCTACATTAAAAGATAGATGTCACATCCACCCTATAATTCTTTACGATTAGTATTTGTCGGCGTCACTCGCAAGAAGAATGCCAGATCATGAATGACTGATGAATCAGTGCTGCATGAGCTCCCGTCATCTCTATGACACTTGCTTGTTCGTCTCCGACATTTTCACGAGCGCCAGTCAATGATTGAGCGACTGCCATTGATGCACCTCATTCCACTGCTTAATGGACAATTGCTGGACGTCTTCATGAAAGATGAAAGGGTAACCTTTGGACTTCAAATGAATTCGTGATTTTTGCTCCGTCCATCAAATGCTACGAATATCGCTGGAGTACGCACGCGCTAATTCCTGAGTGATCTCGCATCTCTGGTCTCCCGTAGTGCAACTCCATCGGCCATTATTATTCATTCACGAACCTGGACAATCGTGCGAAGAAAGAGTTATTCTATTTTAACGGAACACGAGGCTGATCAGTCCTATGCACTTCACCGGATATATGATCAAGCATAACACAAATATAAGATATATAAGAAAGACAAATGACAATTGCATGAATGCTCCACGATCATGCAATATTTTAGACCGTATAATATTCAGCAAATAAACTGCGAGCATCCCGACTGGGTCATGAATTTAGGATTTTCGTTCAATTTCAAGTTCAGTTCCGTGCGAAGATCGTGCAAATGATTAAAAAAACCGGGCTAGTGCTACATATACATATACCGTAGTACTAAACTTATCACTAATTCTACCTATTCTACGAGCTTTATTACTATTACTTTGCATATTACTTCAGCCTCTACAACTTCGACCTACTGCAGTTCCCAATATTTTTTTCAATCTTCAGTGCATCAGTTATGAGATGACCCATCGACAGAACCTTTTATTGAACCATTAATTAACCCTACATTTCATGCACTACGAGTGTAAAGTTACAAGAATATCTGTTAAACAGCAGATTATGGCATCAAAGAAGTCTCTTACACAAAAGGGAATTCTTTCATTCGAATAAAAGGCTGGATTTAACTGAGTAGAATTGTCAACTGAAATATTCAACCTCCCGTGAATTTGTTCAGCGCCATCTCGTTGGTAACAAGGTTTATATGCGACCTCTCAGTTTTTCGACTCGTTGCCTTAGTTCTTCTAGAACGTCGCTGTTCTCCATATCAAAGACGCAAGCACAGCACCCATTGCATATCTATTCGTCATGCCCTCGTGCTATGCCGCCTCACCTTACAAAATATTCCATGGAAATATTAGATGAACATTTCTGCTGGTCATGGTCCAAATCGAGGCCATGCGCTGGTCATGGTCCCAATCGACGCCATTCGCTGGTCATGGTCCCAATCGAGGCCATACGCTGGTCATGGTCCTAATTGAGGCCATACGCTGGTCATGGTCCCAATCAAGGCCATGCGCTGGTCATGGTCCCAATCAAGGCCATACGCTGGTCATGGTCCTAATTTAGGCCATGCGCTGGTCATGGTCCCAATCAAGGCCATGCGCTGGTCATGGTCCTAATCAAGGCCATGCGCTGGTCATGGTCCCAATTAAGGCCATGCGCTGGTCATGGTCCCAATCAAGGCCATGCGCTGGTCATGGTCCCAATCAAGGCCATGCGCTGGTCATGGTCCCAATCAAGGCCATACGCTGGTCATGGTCCTAATTGAGGCCATACGCTAGTCATGGGCCCAATTAAGGCCATGCGCTGGTCCTGGTCCTAATTGAGGCCATACGCTAGTCATGGGCCCAATTAAGGCCATACGCTGGTCATGGTCTCAATCGAGGCCATGCGCTGGTCATGGTCCCAATCAAGACCATGGGCCACGATTTGGTCAGCGTCGCGCAGGACGTGTTTCCGTGCACTCCTGCGTTGTGAGTTGCGCTTGCCAGCCTTCAACTATTCACACTCAGGATAAATGGGCTGTAATTCACTGAATTTCTAACAAAATTCACGGTCTTGGGAGCATCAATTTTTTTTCGCAAGAACAGTGCGTCTAAGTATTTCATAGCCGTTCCTGCGACCAGCCGCCGTTGTAGGAATTGGAAATAATTTCATTTGTATTGAAAAAACTGAATTAAATTTATTGAAGCACACACATAAATTTATTGAAGCACACATCTGAGCATAGCTTTCATGTAGTCGGCATTTCTCTGATAACTGCAAAAGTCAAGGACTAAATGATAGCTAATATCCTTATAAGTTGTGAAAATTTCTACATGCACATGGACATTGCGTAATGGACACAGAATAACATAGCTTTTGCTTCTAGAATTAGGAGGACTATCATAAACTCACTAAAAAATTACTTTTACGGGAGCGCTTGAACCCGCAGGCAAGTTATTACCCAAAACGAGTGCCGTCTTGACATCATTAGGCTGTACGTTAGAAGCGAACGACTCGTAACTCGACGCGTCTTCTTATGAAATCCTGCCTGGGAATCAGGTCCGGGAGCAGGAACAGAGCGGCTCCATAGCGCCCAAGGAAGGACAAGCTTCCAGTCATCTTAGCTTATGAGTCGCCGTCTACTCGACTGCTTGCCGCTTCCTAAAGTCACGCTATTCTAGTGCTTCTCATCTGAGCAAATAAGAAGCATTGTAGTGTGCATGCTGGTACTTGGTTACGCTACTCAACCCATCTTACGGCAACCATCGTGGCTCGCTTAAGAGTTCCTGGCATTATTTTTATTTGCGGCTAGGCCTACATAGTGAGTTTTAAGTGCGTTTGTATGCACAGAGGACAGGTGTAAAATGGCGCTGGCTTTGTGCTAGGCACCCTCATATCGTGACTCTAAAAAGTCAGGCCTTTCTCGTCCGCGTCGTAAACCGCGGCGACTTCCTCCTGCATCAGCGGCGCAGCAGGCCGCTCAAAATATTCTATTATTCACTCCTCATCCTCACATACATTCTCAGTTTTCCAGAAAGCGCTCATGGCTTATTTGAAACATTGCTTCTATCTTTTCTCTATATTATTTCCTTCTACATCACGTTTGAAAATTTAGGTTGTTCAATAAAATAACAATTTCTTTCCGATTTCGACATGCCGTGAATTCATAGGCCTTCTGCCTAAATCATTCATCATTGCTTCAACTTCCATAGCTGACGCTGACTCCCACATTAACCTTAAAATTGTCTTTAAAAAGCGCTTAACCTCTTGATCGCATCTTTGTACTTATTTGTAAACATTTCAACGTAAATTTTTTCAATGTCTCAAATCTGATCAGGTAACCAAATTCATGGTAATTTTGAGTACTTTTCATGAATAAAATCACAAAATTCTCCTTGGCATTTATTCAGTGCTTATAAACTAATGGATGAGTCGTAAAGGAGCCCCATTTTCTAGAACTTTCCTTATTTACTTGGGATTTTTAGTAAGTTCTAAGCATTCTTCTATCGTATTTAGGGTCGTCAGTAAGTTGTGAATATTCTTCTATCATGCTTATGGGTTTCAAGTGAAATGTAAACCTACTTCTATCGTACCTTTCGTGCTATAGCAAGTCGTCAATTTTCATCTCTGTTCGACGCAAATGTTCAAGGCTTGTTGCGTTGATTGCATTCGTTTCGCTCCAGCATGTGTCCACCAATCAGCCGTGCCGTGAGTGCAAACCAGTCACGACAGTCGCATATAAAAGCAATTATTTCTAATGGCACAATATCGACTATCATGAAAATAGTTCAAAGCCTTAACCGGAAATCAAATTAGTAGGCCTTATCTGTTAATTACGCTATCCTTAAGTATTATTGAAACATTCGACTGTAATTCTGAAGTGTTATTTTCAAATTAACATTTTGATCATAAAAATTGTGTCTACATATTAAACCTAAAATTGAAGTGAAGTTTCATTCCTTCTGTATTGAGTTTCCAAGTTCGCATTTTCGTTGAGCCTCATATGTTGGCTGCTGCCGGTTGTGGTATATAAAGCGCTTGTGTGGTTCATTTGTAGGCTGTAATTGCCTCTGTTGAATATTAGAACGTGAGAGAGAGAGAGAGAGCCATTAATGGGTTGTATGAGATATTTATTGATGTCTACTTGCGCGTTTCTAAGGAGATACAGTTTTCTTCTTTGCTCTGTTTTTTTTGCGTAACCTGCGCATTTTTTTATGATCTGTTACTAAACGATTGCGATTTGCTTTTCTTATTTGATTTTTACTGCCAAAAAATTTTACTCTCGATTTTTTTTTCGTTCAATTTGTACGATTTTTCCCAATGACACGTTTTTAATTTATACTGGACATACAGTGAACATTAGGTTCTTCAAATGTACACGAGAATTTTTGTATGATTTTGTGCATTGCTAGCAGGTTTTAATTATTTCATTAAGGTTTATTGAAGATGTAACCCTTAATCAGGGACGTATTTTAATAAAATTAATCATGATTATCCGTGTTATGAAATACACAGCTTCTACTTAGACTAAAATTATCCGACAATTCTGGGAATAAAGATTCAACATGAAGATTCTCTTAATGTATTAGGTACGTTCTTTGAAATAAGAATTTTTACAAGTTAGTGACTTTGTTCATACACATGGAGGGATGCACTAGAAGCTAAGGAATGAAAGTTACCAACAATCACTATCGATACATTAACGTTTGCAGACGATTGCTAAAACAACCAGAAGATAATGCGTACGGTTAGAAAGAGAGGCACTTCAGAAACTTCCGAACGATGGATCGCGTTGCAGACAATGTGTGACAAGACATGCCAAGAATTGTACATGGTTGCAGACAATGGGAGACATGATATGCCAAGAACTTGTACATGGTTGCAGACAATGTGAGATAAGACATGACAAGAACTTGCACATGGCTGCTAATAATGGGAGACAATACATGCCAAGAATTGTACATGGATGCAGACAATGGGAGATGAGACACAATAACTTGAACATGATTGTTGATAAAGGTACACAACACATGCCAAGAACTTTGACATTGTGGCAGACAATGGTAGACCCCACATGGCAAGAACTTGTATATGGTTGCGTACAATGAGAGACAACACATGACAAGATCTTGAACAAAGGCCTGAGTGTCAATGAGTGTTAGAGTGTATAATTCCTGATCCAGGAGTGGCTTGTGTTGTACATGTAGCATGCCAACATCTACTTGCAATTTGTTAATGTATAAACATTCGCACGTTTGTCCACAAATAAAAAATTTGGATAGCGTTGTGAAATTTTCATCCGTGTCCGCGTTCAGTCTCGTGTGGTGATGTTTGTCCATTATCCAAGAGTGGACGGGAACTGGAGGGAACTTCCAAAATTTGGAGGAAACTTTGAGATTTGGAAGAATCTTCTAAAATTTGGAGGAAACTTTGAGATTTGGAAGAATCTTCTAAAATTTGGAGGAAACTTTGAGATTTGGAAGATACTTCCAAAATTTGGAGGAAACTTGAAAAATGGAGGAGGACGTTCAGCTTTCTATAGGGTTCTGGTAGTTGAAAATTAGAGGGAGTCACGCTGATGGGCAACCTCAACTCGGGAAGGAACATGCATAAATATCATTTATGAACTTCACTGCTTTAAGTGGACAGTGAAGTGCACTGCTTCAGCAAGTTATTTGCTTATTTCATAAATGCAATGATTTCTTGCACCATTTAACGTTATAAAAATTACAGATGAAAATTTGTAAAAATTTATCAGGAATCTTTTTGCAACGATTGTTACACTGTTCAAAAAAACGTGAAAAACGGTCTTACTGAAGTTTTAGCGACCGACCGCCCCATGAAAATAAACCGTTATGCCGTTGTTTAGATGTTGTACGGGTTTTGTGTTAAGATGGAATAAAAACGGCCTCACGGTGTTTCTTTTCAAATGCCGGCTGGCCGCTGAAACGCCGGTAATACCGTTTAACGGTGATTTATCGAACAGTGTATCTACATAAGTTATATTAATAACATGTCTAGATTGTATATCTAATTTATTGTTATGGAATTTGTGAATTAAAAAAAATCATAAATAAGCCAGATTACCTAGAAAATTCATGACTAGTGTACAAAAATTAATATCGAAACTAATTCTTGAACTTGTTAGCAGAGGAACTCATAATTTCAGTGTTAAATTGAAATTGAATGACTGAGATGACCTCGCGGTGAGAGGGCACCTCTATTAGGTCATGGGGTCCTGAGGGAGGGGCAGAGGCCGTGGGGCAGAGGGCGTGGGGCAGAGGCCGTGAGGCAGAGGGCGTGGGGAAGCGATTGGGAAGTCAAATTCGTAAGAGAAAAACATTAAATTCAACCCCACATCCCACTTGGGGACACTCTTGGTACTCTCACTGGTGACCCAAAACTGACACTGCAAGCGCCATGCTAGGCCAACTTGGTAATCGTCTTGAGTGATGGTAGTCTCGAAAACAATTACCGTTCACGATAATAGGTTCTACGGTGGTCGCCAGTTCTCTTTTGGCCATAAGAAAAGTCATGGTTCTTTTACACTTCAATAATAGAAAAAATTATTGAATGAAATTTTTTTATATAATTTACGCTATTTAAATACATTTTCGGATAATATGAGCGTTAATTTTCAAGTAGGAAGGTTATCGTAAACGGGTATGATGGGAGCACGATCTCAGGCAATTAACAGTTATGTCTGGCCTCCGATGATATGTCTAAAGTTGAAGCACAACGCTTTATCCCTTCACTTGATATTGACCGTAAACAGACATAATAAATATGACATAGGGCGAGTCAACCATACATAGCTTAATTAACTACCATCGTAAAATTGAAACGTTATTCGACGAAATTGCCGTGATTGCAATAATATTTTTTTATGCTAAGCGTGAAAAAAAGGACCGAAAGATCGAGCCTCTTGCATTATGAGTGAAACAGGAGATAGGATCTCCGTCAATATATTAATATACATAGACATAAAAAGATGCTTGAGCCAGAGCAGCATAGCCTGCTCTATTCCCGCCATATTTACAATCTTTGGTAGGCTTTCGTGGGTGAGTACAACTAACTAATGTAATGACCTTGTACATTTCCCTCTCAATATTCCCTAACAAAAGATGTATCCCCTGCAACTGGATATTTTATTTCCCTTTCTAATCTCAAGTTCAATTTAGGGATCACTTAATTCATCAGTAAAGTGATAAATCAGTCCTTGTCTCGGAATAAATTTCATGTTGACAATTGAGATCATCTATATGGGTCATTCGATTTCAATAAACGAATTATAAGTCAGTAAAGTGAATCACAATCAGTTTATAGAGGGAACTAAAAAGAAAGAACTTTGTCGAATAAATTAGTTATTTGGTTAAAACTTGCCAGTAAGCTTTTTGTTGGCTCTTAGTTTGAGGTTGTGAATGACTCAGAGAGTGGGCAAATGTATGTTAAATTAGAAATATGCCAAGTATATATATGGGTAACTACAACTAACGTTCTGCTCACAAATGTCGCTTGATCTCTGGCTACCGTTCATCATATAGAATGTGGCCGTACAACCGTCGTCTAGGTTAATATAGTTATAGAAAAATAAGAAAAGATGTGCATTCCGAAGGAACATTTTCATATAGTAAACTCGTCTTATTTCTATAAGAAACAGAGGAAAATTCTGAGAACACTGCACCCTCAATGTTCACTGTACCCCGCAGTACAATGTAATTTACACTACACTGCAAGTTACAGTAAACTGCACCTTCACAGTACGACTGTTTTCCTTAACTATACTCGTAAAAACGGACGAAAAATCTGTTCATTAATTAACACGTATCACTTAAAGTACTCTCTTATGACTAGACTTCGTTAAAAATCTATGGCATGACATATATAAAGAAATATTGCACTTGGAATGAAATATTTTACACGTGACCTTATATTATGAAATCATTATCCTTATGTGGTCGCAATAAGAATTCTTCAACACGCTCATTTAATATTCGATGACATCGATCGTAAAAAGAATCTATTCACGTAAATAACTTCGTCGCTTGTCACTTACGTCCAGCGGGTTGAGGCATGATTGTCAAAATTCAAGCACGTCAAGAGGCTCTGTTGCACCACACTGCGACCTTATGTTAACCAGAGCTTTCAATTGGGGCGTTCGCACTGATTGGTCAAGGATCACTTTTAGTCTTTTTGACTTTAGTACCGAGCCGTTATTTTAATAGTTTTTCTTTGGAAAATTCATTTGAGATTAATGTTATAATCGCATCGAGGGTTTTAAAGTGGTTGGGGGTTGGTAATGCAGACCATGCAGCCTTGGGTCTATATGTACGCTTTAGCGCCATTTAGTTCGTTTTTTTATTTATTTCTGCTGCGTTGTTACTATGCTGACACAGGTTTAATCTTTAGCCATTCCAGGTTCTGACAGAAAAGCCAACGATCTGGTTAGAATTGCCAGTGATGTTGAGATGTTCCAAGAAGTGTCAAGACTTCTCAATTCAAGTTGTTTCCTGACCCCAAACGATGTCCATGATTCTGGTCGGTGGTGAAGCTGAATTAGTAGCACTATCATCACAATGAAAAAACTAAGAATAGCTGCGAGCTTCGACTTCTGCAGAAGCCACAACAAGGAGTTGGGACTTTGAAGCTGCATGTACGTGATCAAAGTTACAGTTAACTTCAGGTTACAGTTTGTTAAGTTCAGGTTTCAGTTTTAATGATATTCATTTACAATAGAATGAATTACACTTGCACTTCCAAACTAAACCATCAGTCGCGTCATGGTTCTGATAAGCAGTTTACTCGGCTTGACCTTCCACCGCCCACACAGACGATTTTGGTCTCGCACGCACAATGTCATTGCTAAGAACAGTAGAGGGTTTAAGTGCCTTCGAGGCTATCGGACATTATTATATACAGCCCTCATGAGTGAAAAAGTAAATACTTATTTTCATCACTATTAACTATCGCTGGTGATACCAGTCCCCAAGCCCTGTTAGGAGCTCGGTTACTGGTATCCCTGATACCAAGCTGCCGCCGCTGCAGCTTGCCCCACCCATCGCTCCCCCAGCTGATCAGACCAAGGACTGGCAAGTCCTTGTGAATTCCCCTGCACGCAAGCGGCGGGGGAAATGTGAGGTCTGACCGAGGAGGGGCGACGAGTGGGGGAGGCTGACCACTACGGAACCGGAGTGTGAGGAGGTAAGTGGCTGTGGGGACCCATCATCCCCCCCATCACTGGGTGCTGCATCCCACCGGATGGTCCGTTGCTCATGTGTTTCTGAGTCGCCGCAAACTTCATCCTTTTCTGTTTTTGGCGTTGATTACAAAACCAAACCCTGACGACGTTCTTTTTAAGGTCGAGTTTCTCGGCAATGGCTGCAATCTTTTCGCCGCTCGGTCGTGGCTGGACAGCGAAGTAGGCTTCCAGCGACCGCTTCTCAGGAGCGGCGATGCTCGTGCGTTTTCTCTTCTGGAACAAAACGAAAACGGGATTAAAAATAGCAACGGGCACTGCCGTTCGTACGGAACTTTAGTTCAGGTTTGAATTTCATATTTTTAACGTAATAAATTTGGAAGTTAAATCCCGATAACTATTTTATTTTGGATATCCACACAACAATGAGCTAAGAAGTATTATCAAGAGTTTTCTTTTAAGTAGAACATTATTTAACCCTTTGCCCAATTTCAGCGGTAATTGGGCCCAATTTCAGCATTATTGCCCAATTTCAGCATTATTTAACCCCCCATTTAACATTATTTAACCCTTTGCCCAATTGGGACGGTAAACATGACTCATTTGTGCTGGGAGAGAGGACCTAGATTCTTTGAAGCCATGGTGAAGGCCTATCAATGGACAGGAGGACTTTTCAAACCTGCATTTTTGATGATGAATTATCATTATTACAAATAATTTAATGAATCTTTTTACTGCTTGAGTCAATCTGTACGAATGGTCGTACTGCTCGATGAAGTATAAATGAATGTTTGAATTGCTCGAGGCAGTATGTACAAATTGTTGTCTTGATCAAGGCAGTTTGAAGCCGAATATTGTGTCACTATGTTTGTCCTACTAATAAAAGTTCACATTAACGCCTGAAAAAGCACTAGCCCAAAGATTGCGGAGGAAAGTTAGTATATTGAGGTGAGGTAAGTTTGACCGCACCTCTCCCATGGGTAGTACAGATGGGGCGTCGGGATCCCTTCTCTTGTTCCTCATTTGAGCCTCGGCCTCCTCAAGCCAGGCTTGCAGGACGGGCTTGAGAGCAATCATGTTGTTGTGTGATAACGTCAGTGATTCGAACCTGGAGACGCACAAAAAATTCTGCTGAACAAATAATATTTTGATTTCTTATATGCAGTAATGACCAGCACGTACCGTATATGAAGAACAGTGAAAATAAGAAGTGGTACAAGAAATGAAGGAGATCGGAAATATTTTCACAGTTCCTATGATGAAGCTAACCAAGTAAGATGAGCAAATTTTGTAAACAGGTTCACCAAAGGGCAAGGAAAAACAAATTTTATCATCAGCTTAATTGATGAAAATAATGTATTCGCAGATAAGAGTAAAAGAAATAATTATTGGTTAATGATTAAGAACAGAGTAAAATAACAATAATTGAAGTAAAAGATATAATCATTGTTGATGATTGGGAACAAGAGGATGACAAGGCGCCTACACTCAACTCACCGGCATATCGTTGACTGGGACAAGGCACAAGGCGCCTACACTCAACTCACCGACATATCGTTGACTGGGACAAGGCGTCTACACCCAACTCACCGGCATATCGTTGACTGGGATAAGGCGCCTACACTCAACTCACCGACATATCGTTGACTGGGACAAGGCGCCTACGCCTGGAAGCTTGAGGTTTGCGAGCGCCTTGCCGACGTCGGCCTGCGTGACGCCCAGTTTAATGCGCCGTTGCTTGAAGCGCTCAGAGAACGCCTCCAGCTCGCGGGGGTCGGTGTCGGTGTCGTGCATGCTGGGCAGGTAGCTGCGCACGGTGCAAGAGTAAAACAGCCTTCATAATAAATTTCAACTCAAATTATATCGTATTTAGCTGATTAGCTGACCCAAATAATTTTGTGGTTACGTAAATATGTAGAAAAATAAGGTCAATAAAAAATCATTTTTTACTGTAGTGACATTAAGCACTTGAATATCCGTTCGCGTCATTGTTGATCAAGTTCTTCATGATCAAATACATCATGAATGCATTAAAATATGTTTATTTTCACTGTGCATGCTGTTTTTTTACCGCAAAGTTCAGTATAGGTTTCTAATGTGACTAATAACTTATTTTAATATTGCTATCTACTTTAAAATTACTAAATATAACTACTACAAATTCTACAATAAAATTACTAAATATAACTACACACACTGAAGAAACAAAAAATGTGAGATCTAATCGCTCAAACCACTTATACAATGGATCAAATATAGATAAAAATCCTACAGACAAAGGGCCGAAAAGTTAATAATTGTGTTTGTGATAGCCTCCAGCAGTCCTAAAGCTCGCAGCCAATACTCGTTTAGCAAGAAATAAGCGACCGCACAAGACCACCACGCAGCGGCCACAAAGATCGGCAGCGTCGGCAGGTAATTTGTAGGAGGCGCGTGCCGCTGTCCTGCCACTCTCCCCTGCGACCGCAGCCCCCGACCTGGGGGCGCTATCCCTGATATTTGTTTGGCTCTCTCTTGTCTTCTAGAATATTTTATCGTGAGATATTTGTATTGTATTGGTCACTAATTGTACTGAAGGTAATAAGAGTGTGTCATTGTATAGCCGCTGAATTCGTGAGATATTTGTATTATATTGGTGGCTAATTGTACTGAAGGTAATAAGAGTGTGTCATTGTATAGCGGCTGTATTCGTGAGATATTTGTCTTGTATTGGTGGCTAATTGTACTGAAGGTAATAAGAGTGAGCCATTGTATAGCCGCTGAATTCGTGAGATATTTGTCTTGTATTGGTGGCTAATTGTACTGAAGGTAATAAGAGCGTGCCATTGTATAGCAGCTCTAAATCTTTACCACATCTCTGTTTTGAGTTATTGTACCGTATAGCAGCTCCTAAACCTTAAGTAACTACTTAGTTTTGTGTTATTTTCTACGCTTTTCTACCGTAATTCTGACAAATGTTAATTCGCTTCGAAGGTTATGATGAATGGGTTTATAATCGTGCCGTTTTCCAGGTAAAAAACTCACCTTAAAGGCATGTGTGGATGAGGTAGGCCTGGGTGTCCCATCATGCTGTTCATGGGTGAGTGTGAATATACTCCTCCATGCATCATCCCGCCGTCACTCATGGGGGTGAGGGTAGTCATGGCTGACGAGTTAATTGGGTCTAGCATCTCCAGGCCTTCCATGCTGTGGTGACCCATCTGGGACAGGAGTATAACATTCATTAGTGCAACTGAAACTGTGACTAAATTACAAACATACCAGTAATTAATCTGTCTAGTTAGGTAAAATTAACTTAGCGATCGATATCAGAATAATTTACACGGGTTATCACGCCACTTACCTAAGTTTAGCTTTTAATGTACACAAGACAACACAGTAAAATGGCGAAATATAACTTAGAATTGCTTCACCAGCTAGAATATATATGAACAAAAATATGCCAAGAAACCTAGCACAAGGATTAACAGGATTAGCCGTGTTATGAGCGTGTGTGTTGCTAATGTTGCTCTCAGCTTCGAAGGACAAGCCAGCGCGCGACACGCATGCGTTCAGTGCCACAAGAGAGAAGTGACACGCACGCGTTCAGTGCTACAAGAGAGAAGTGACACGCATCAAGGGAGAAGTGACACGCACATGTTCAGTGCTACAAGAGAGAAGTGACACGCACGCGTTCAGTGACACAAGACAGAAGTGACACGCACGCGTTCAGTGCCGCAAGGGAGAAGTGACACGCACGCGTTCAGTGCCGCAAGGGAGAAGTGACACGCACGCGTTCAGTGCCACAAGAGAGAAGTGACACGCACGCGTTCAGTGTTCGGGTATAAACGCTGACGTTTTAATATGTAAGGGATAAATGCAACAATGCATGGTAAAAAAATGCTTTAAATATTCGAGAATTCAAGCGTGAGGACTAATACTGTAAATATTTTACGGTTGTATACTATACTCGTCGTATAAATTTATTTGCCGTATAAACCCTGATATAAATAAATTGTTATCACGTTAACAGGTCAATTCAACGCAGGAAATATACAAGGCTCCTGCAGTTTGAGAATACTTTCATTCCTGATCCATCCGAGTAGAATTCCATTAATAATTTATACACTAATTAAAGTAGAGTAATTGTAGGACAGTTCCAACTGGTAATTAACAGAGGACACTAATCAACTTCAACTGTATGTAGTTCAACTTAAACTCAATAGAATTTTGTATTAAAATTCACACTCACCAAATTAAAAATGACATTTAAATTTCAAACTCCTCGCCTAGATCTGCATTTCTGCAAGATATCCTTATCTGCAACCCAACATAAAGATAATTATGTATACACGGGAATTGTTTACATAACGTATACACACTTAAACATTATTAATGTTTTCATGGTGCCAGGCTTGACAAAAACACACAAACTAACACAGCTGCATTATTTATTTAAACACTATAAATTGATGTTTTTTCTGAATGGAGATTTTAGGATTATACACACACACACCACACACACAATATTCCTGCATTTTAAGATTTAAAGTTTTAAAACTAAAAATAATTTGGTTGTGGGATAGCTCAGAGACTGTATATCCCAAGAAACCCCCCATGTATACCTGACATGCAATGTGTATCATTTATAATATGCAAGGCTTGCTCGGTCTGTTCTGAAATATCTATGCGTAATGAGCGAGCATAGAAGTTGTGATGCATAGATGTTGTAATGCATAGATGTTGTGATGCATAAATGTTGTGATGCATAGATGTTGTGATGCATAGATGTTGTGATGCATAAATGTTGTGATGCATAGATGTTGTGATGCATACATATATGTTGCGATGCATAGATGTTGTTATGTCTGTAGTGTGGCTAGAGTGTAATTAAACGGTCATTATAGTGCACGATTCCTCCGATTAATTGAAACCACGTAGATTTTAAAAGCACTCACCCACCGTCGTTATGGGTAAACATTAGCTAATGAGCTTCGTTAAAGTATGCAAGAACGACACCAGAACTGCACTGCGTTTCCCTGCAACGTGAAGCCCAGACCGTGCGATTCATGAGCTTTTACTCCTGACGTGAGTTTATATCTAATTGTTAAGTTATTTTAATGCAAGAAACTCTCGCTAATGGAAGAAGTTTGGCGAGAGCGGATGTTGGGCTGGGGTTTTGCGAGCTGTTTCCTTTTGCTGCGCGTTGCCGCGGCCATTTGGTGGCTGCGGCCCCGTGCTAGCTTCTCCTTACTCCTGACGTTTACGATCCTTCCCATGCAATGCTGTGCTCTTTATCAATGCGGTGATAAACCGCAAAATATATATTGCTAACATAAATGCACATTGAATTCACATGTTTTTTGTTTTGATATCAACTACTTGGTACAGCGTTTGGTCTTTTGATCGTCTCTTAAAGCGAAATTTTTTGCTCCTATACCTACTTTCCACACCGGCACTTCACTTCTTTTATTATCAGTGACCTTAAAGTTTGTTATTCGTCAGATTAGTCCACACTGAAATTTTTATGAATTTACATCATGTAGAAGCTATAAATTATAATGATTTCTTTTTCAGTTACCGTTAGACGCAGCTAGCTTGTTAGCCTGGTGTTTCTCGTATATGATAATTCCTGCAATTTTAGAATCTTGTTGTCCCATATTCTGCTATTCTTGAAATCCATCAATCTCGTTAACAATAATAAAGCTTGTGTTTTCTAATTGATTAAATACCCATTCAAACTCACAGTTTACATAGTGAACAAGACTCTTATTACACTCTCATATCAAATGTTGCATATATTAATTTAAATTCATGTTAACCAATTGCAAAATAAAATTCGAATTTTTGATTAATTATTTCCTACCTTTTGTCCAATAATTCATATTCATGTATGTTAGATTAGATAAATATCCTGGATACGCGCCCCAACAGCTCCTATATACAATATCCCGACACGATAAATATCCTGGATACGCGCCCCAACAGTTCCTATATACAATATCCCGACACGATAAGTATCCTGGATACGCGCCCCAACAGCTCCTATATACAATATCCCGACAAGATAAGTATCCTGGATACGCGCCCCAACAGCTCCTATATACAATATTCCGACAAGATAAGTATCCTGGATACGCGCCCCAACGGCCCCTATATATTTATCATGCCAGGCTTACAGCACACAAACAGACCCTCAAAGTTTGATAAATATATACACGATTAGATAATTCTTTACTAAACACAATTTAACTGCTCATGTGGTCTTGAGAGTGAACATTTGGGAACACACGGAACATGAAAACGTAAAGTTTCAAATTATAAAAGTAATATTCGATTGCCGATATAGCATGGGGTATTTATAGAGAAATTATCTTGTCTTTTCTTGTCTGCTTGAAATGACGGCTTTTAAGTAAAAAATATCATTTAAATTCAAATTTACGAGTGCGGTTTACTGAGCTTATGATTATATTCATGCAACGAATCTGAACAATACCCAATGTTGTATCCATAGATGGCTTTATTTTGCATGGTTTTAACTGGGCAAGCGCCTGCGCGATGTTGTCTGCGGCCTTCCAACCTATACGAGCTTCCACCCGACGAGTTTCTGGTGCGTTTCGCCTCCGTCGAGATTTGTTCAAACGTTTGCCTGAGTAGCGCTCGATTATTTCGAAGTCTCCTACATGAATGAAGCTACATGTAGGTTTTCGTCACTAATTGATTAACTGTCTAATGAACGATGTGAATATTTTCAGTGTCTTTTACTTGATATCCAAATAAGTGTCATGACTCGAAGTCTACGTATATTACACGAAAGATTTAAGTGTCTCGGTAATATCAATTAAAAATTCCTTTAATCATGTCACTGGTGAATAATAAAAATATGAAAGGATTTGTAATAAACCAATCAATATTATGCCCAATCAATTAAAGCTGGTGATCATAGTGCAATTCTAGTGCAATTTAACAGCTGCATGAGCGACATTAACACATCAACTGCAGTGAAACTGCTACAATAGGCGCCATCTCCCGCAATAAGAGCAGCAGCAACAGCAGCAGCAGCAGCAGCAGCAGCAGCAACAGCAGCAACAGCAGCAGCAGCAGCAGCAGCAGCAGCAGCAGCAGCAGCAGCAGCAGCAACAGCAGCAGCAGCAGCAGCAGCAGCAGCAACAGCAGCAGCAGCAGCAGCAGCAGCAGCAGCAGCAACAGCAGCAGCAGCAGCAACAGCAGCAACAGCAGCAGCAGCATCAGCACAGGTATCATGTCACGCGCTGTGGTCTCCTCTAAGGGTTACAGCCCCGAGCTACAGGCCCCCTAGGGAGCGCTTGCCCCCTCTTTGCCCCCTCACCCTCGCTTGCCTGGCTGTCTTTTAGCAGCTTCTTTTAGACCTCTGCATGCTTGGAGGTCCAGACTTTTTCCGGCGCTCGTTTGCTTTTTTTCGTGCGTGTTTTGATGGCCGCGCAAGAGTTTTGTGCGGCTAACTGCCATTGCTGTATTTCTGGTGCCAAGCCAAACGGCCGCCGTGTATCGGCTGCAGGTCTGACTTTTGCCTGGACAAATGCTGCTTTTTCTGACGGATTCCTAAACAATTTTATCCTCAGATGTACAAGAGAAAAAACAAATATGTGCCAGCTGTTTTTGTAGAATTAGGAAGCATTTCAGGGCAAAATAGTGAAAATAAAGCCTTGACTTTTTAATGGTCCATCGAGCGTTCGATAAGAAAGGGGAATTTTCGTCGCAGTTAATTTTATCTGAAAAAAAATCAATCCGCAGCACTGATTTGCACTTCATTCAGCACATTTTTCTTGAAGCTGGCGTTGATTGAAAAGTTTATATGCAGCATAGACTGGCAAAGCTTTTCGGTTCGATGATTTTCAAATGTAATCTAAACCCATTTTTGCTTGTACACTAGGAAGATTTGCGCCTGTCGAGGGAATTGAAGTAGGAATGGACGTTCCTACTTCATCTGTCCTAATGGAAAGGTTAAAAATTCTGTAGCTTCAATGGATTATATGTACGTGGATAATGAAGATCATAAATGATCATCTTCATTACTAATGATCTCGAGGAGAAGGTCACAGCTTGCGTTGCTAGACGAACATACCTTGCGATAAGGTGCGTCAAACCATTTGCTATGGTAGGTTACTGTGCAGGGTTAGGTGCGTCAAACCATTTGCCATGGTAGGTCACTGTGCAGGGTTAGGTGCGTCAAACCATTTGCTATGGTAGGTCTCTGTGTACGGTAAGGTGCGTCAAACCATTTGCCATGGTAGGTCACTGTGTACGCTAAGGTGCGTCAAACCATTTGCTATGGTAGGTCACTGAGCACGCTAAGGTGCGTCAAACCATTCGCTATGGTAGGTCACTGTGCACGCTAAGGTGCGTCAAACCATTCGCTATGGTAGATCACTGTGCACGCTAAGGTGCGGCAAACCATTTGCTATGGTAGGTCTCTGTGTACGCTAAGGTGCGTCAAACCATTTACAATGGTAGGTCACTGAGCGTTCCAAGGCAGGTGCTCGCGTGCGCACACTAGCACATAACGTGGACTAAGTTGGAGAGTATTTATATATATAAAATCAATAATTGTTTCGTGCAGTTAGAAAGTTCAATCGTTGCGAGTCAACTCTGAAGTATTAATTTGAGTCAAATGATAGCTCTACTCTACAGTGCCGTGATAAATGCTCTCTGTAGTAGATTTATAAAAAATTATTGGTGTGCGTGAGGTGGCCAACCATCATTCCATCCAAGCTGCGTCGATCAGGTTGATTATTAAGATGCTCTACACAGGGCCAGTAGAGTCGGCCAGTAGTGTCGGCCAGTAGTGTCGGCCAGTAGAGTCGGCCAGTAGTGTCGGCCAGTAGTGTCGGCCAGTAGTGTCGGCCAGTTGTGTCGGCCAGTAGAGTCGGCCAGTTGTGTCGGCCAGTAGAGTCGGCCAGTTGTGTCGGCCAGTAGTGTCGGCCAGTTGCGTCGGCCAGTAGTGTCGGCCAGTAGAGTCGGCCAGTAGTGTCGGCCAGTAGTGTCGGCCAGTAGTGTCGGCCAGTAGTGTCGGCCAGTAGTGTCGGCCAGTAGTGTCGGCCAGTAGTGTCGGCCACTAGTGTCGGCCAGTAGTGTCGGCCAGTAGTGTCGGCCAGTAGTGTCGGCCAGTAGTGTCAGCCAGTAGTGTCGGCCACTAGTGTCGGCCACTAGTGTCGGCCAGTAGTGTCGGCCAGTAGTGTCGGCCAGTTGTGTCGGCCACTAGTGTCAGCCAGTAGTGTCAGCCAGTAGTGTCGGCCAGTAGTGTCGGCCAGTATATATAGTATCGACCAGTAGTGTCAGCCAGTAGTGTTGGCCAGTAGTGTGCGCCAGTAGTGTCGGCCACTAGTGTCGGCCAGTACAATTTCGAATACCAACCGCCACTTTTACCGGGTAATTGGCGTAACCGGGCGTTTTACCGGGATCGTTTATAAGCGTAACTGGCCACGGAAATGCCCATTAACCTTTTACACGATGCCAGTAGCATGACAATTAGTAGCAGTTAGCGTTTGAAAGTTGTAGTGGTCGCCATTATTTGCCGTCAATACTTGCCGTCACTACTGGCCACCACTACTGGCCGCCACTACCGGCCGTCACTACTGGCCACCACTACTGGCCGTCACTACTGGCCACCACTACTGGCCGCCACTACCGGCCGTCACTACTGGCCACCACTACTGGCCGTCACTACTGGCCATCACTACTGGCCGCCACTACCGGCCGTCACTACTGGCCTCCACTACTGGCCGTCACTACTGGCCGCCGTCACTGGCGGTCACTACCGTCCTCGTGTATAAGCCCGCTAACCCAAGCCAGGAGCTGGGGACAGCTAGCAGCATAGGGGGGCGCCATGCAGTGGAAGTCGGTCATCGAAGTTTGATTATTAGCGCAGCGACCGACGCCTACATGCACGACAGCCTTCAGTCGTCAGTCGCTAGTCGTTATTAACCAGTAGCCAATCGCTAGTCGTTTGTAACTAATCATAAGCCTCTAGTCGTAAGTTGTTGGTTGCTAGTCGCCAGTAGTCAGCTACTGGCGACTCGCTCGCTATAGCTACTCTATTACTTACCTTATGCTTGTTGCTATTACTTATCTTATACCTATACTTGTTGCTATACTTGATCTTATACTTGTTGCTATAATCGCTATTAGCTACTTGTTAGTAACCAGTCTCTATTCGTTAGTCGTTAGTAACCAATCGCTAGTCACCATTCGCGTGCCGTTATTAACCACTCGGCAGTCGCCGGTTGCAAGTCGTCAGTAATCTAACTCTGAAATTGGTTCAAGTTGTTCAGAAGTGTTAGGGTATTTATATGATACGCAAGTCGGCATGATGGATGCATGTCGTGGTAATCACTATACTCAACTTGTGCGAGTATTTCTTCAGAGAACAGTGACGTGCTCTGAGCAATTGATGGTGAGAGTTGTCAGTCACCTATTTCTTGACAATGTTAGCGATTAATCTTCAAACAATACGTATATATAATTCTGTTTATATTGTTCAATTTCTTGAACCGATGTATCTGAACTATGATGATTTGTCAAGTAGCCAAATTTTTAATGTTTTTCGTCTCGTAATCTCCAACTGAACTATTTAGAACTGTTAGATCTATAGAACTTGTGAGCGGTCGGCCATTACTACTGAAATGTTATCAGTTCTTACTCGCCTTGCTTGTTGAGACTACAATTAAAGCACTGATCTTAAGCGTTGCAAGATCAAGTTATTACCAATAGGTTACATCTAACAATGATTACATTTAATTAAGGCCTTTATTTTATTGAATCAATGAAAAATCCGTATATAATTAGGCAGATGGGGGCCTATATGACTGATTAACAGCGTAATCAACACCGCAAATAACACCGTAATTAGCACCGTAAATAACACGGCAAATGACACCTTAAAAACACTGCAATTAAACCCGTAATTAACACCGTAAATAACACCGTAATTAACACCGTAATCAACATCGTAATTAACACCGTAATCAACACCATATTTAACAGCGTAGTTATTTAAACACTCCACTCGCCCTTTAGTCCGATTTTCATACTCATCAATTACCGGTACTAGAGTTTCGTAAATTCTTAATTGAGCCTAAACGAAAATAATAAAGAAATGCTAATATTTAATCAAAGCTTTATTATGCCTGGAAAAATGATTGGATCATATTGTCCAAATAGTGATACAATGTCCTACTGACGACACCAGCAGACATTAGACTTATAATTAAGCCATTTTCCCTGGCAATAATGGGTCAGGGTGACCCACATAGGAACAAAATGGACATCGCTATTTAGACAAAGTCTCACACATTTTTCTGTGAGTGACAGAAAAGCGTAACTGACCTGTGGGGGTCTGGAGGGGGGCGTGTGGGGGGTGGAGGCCATGCCGGGGTGGTACATCATGTCGGGGGGCTTGAGCGCCCCCACCCCGGGGGTCTGGTGCTTGTCAGCGAGGTCAGCTCTGCTCAGCTCGTCCAACCCCCCGCCCCCGAAGAGCTGACCTTGGGGGCCCAGCGGTAGGGGCTTGTAGTCCTCCTGCTGGGGAGCGAGGAATAGAAATTTAGAAGAATAATATATCCATTTTCGTCGTCTCTCTCTCCCACTTTCTCCCTCTCGTCACCCCTCTCCCATTTTCGTCGTCTCTCTCTCCCACTTTCTCCCTCTCGTCACCCTCTCCCGTTTTCGTCGTCTCTCTCTGTCGCATCGCCCCTCTCTCCCTCTTGCTTGTCTATCTATCTTTCTTGGGCGCTGTATTCCAGCTATTTTACATCTCTGCCTTTCATCCTCTCTGTTACAAGCAAGATTGTTTCATTATTACATCTCACTGTTACATTGTTCCCTTATTGCATCTCCTCTTTATTTCAGTCACTCTTTTCCAGCTGCCAATCCCTTCGTTCGCTTCATTTCTCACTCTTGTCAGCTTGCAGTTCTCTCTTTTTTTTATTTGCACTCTCTTTCATTAGTTGTTCTCTCTCTTGGGCTGTGCTACGCTCTTTATCTCGTTCGTACCTACATTTCTCGACGTTCGCTTCCGCATCATTTCTTCTCATTTGTTTTCATTCTCGTCTATTTTCTATTTTTTAAGTTTTCGCCCTGCATTCCACATGCCACACTATCTTCTCATGCCACGAAGCCTTACCCATGCAAAGCTAAACTCCTCATGCCACGCAGCCTTATTCATGCCACGCTAAACTTCTCATTGAAGCTGAGGAAAGATTCAGAGTTGAGTTTTGACCTCATAAAGATCCCACCACTCAGGCATCGGTTGTGCATCCTAACTGACCGGAACTACTTCCTTATTCCCCACACCAACTCCCCGACTCCCCAAGACCAATTCTCCTTCAAATACACGGGACATGGAAGCCTTTAAAATCGCAAGTGTGAAATCACCGACTAGCCACCGAAAATCCATCGATAACTTCACTTCGCTGATTCTCAGACTCCGTCTTCTGTCATGTGCAAAGCTCCGTGATTCCGGATCCGCAGCGCGCTGATACGGCGGCGGTTGGCGCTGAAACTGCGCTGTTACGAAGACGGATTCCGGGGCACTGCGCTGTATTATTAGTATAATTGACTTTTAATGCACGCGTATAGGGTTTAAACGTACGCACGTATAGGGTGCAATCGCACATACGTATAGGGTGCACACATACGCATGACTATAGGGAGCAAACTATATAGGCATGCATACTGCACACTTACATTCGGTGCACACATATAGGGTGAACACATATAGGGTGCACACGTATGGGGTGCACACTGCACACGTATAGGGTGCACACGTATATGGTGCACACACCGGCCGGCAAAAGCATCATGAATGTTTTATCGCTATTGATTGACCGACACGGAGAGCCTTCAGCTGCAGGCCTGTGCCGTAGGATGCCTGCAGAGTGTCGATATTTTGATGCTTGAATTAACCCGCTTTTCGGATAATCGCTCGTTATTTAATGATGCAAATAATACAGACAATAATCATATAAAATTCTGTGAATTAATATATTAGAATAATGTTATACGGTGTGTTGGTAGTCTTGTAAGTTTTTGTAATTTTTAGAGATAGAATTTATTTGGAAACACGAAACGTTATTTCGAGAAAGTACATCTATTCTTAAATCAATGGTACTCAATTACAACTGCGAGCGCCGAGAGGAAGGTTTTGCTTCTCAAGAAGAGTTGCCGGATGGCCTTTTTTCCGCACAAATTCCGCGATTTAGTTTTAGCGTATTGCGTTGGCCGACAACAATGTATGATGTCGGTACTTCCTTATTGAATGTAAAACCTAAAAAAAATAACAGAAATTGACTATTTAACCGGGACCTACAAATTCACTAATAAATATTGAACTATAAGTCTTTTTAGACTTTTTTTGCTGTTGACTTGACCGTTTTTAGCCCATTTGGCAATCATGTAGCTGGAGGACAGTTCCTACACTCCCTGTTATGCAGGGCACTGTCCGCCAGCCTGGCACGCGGTGGACACGATGCAGGGCACTGTCCAGCAAGATGCTGTAGGGCAGCGGTCCAGCAGCTACAGAGCAGCGGTCCAGCAGCTGTAGAGCAGCGGTCCAGCAGCTACAGAGCAGCGGTCCAGCAGCTGTAGAGCAGCGGTCCAGCAGCTGTAGGGCAGCGGTCCAGCAGCTGTAGGGCAGCGGTCCAGCAGCTGCAGAGCAGTTGTAGGGCAGCGGTCCAGCAGCTGTAGAGCAGCGGTCCAGCAGCTGTAGGGCAGCGGTCCAGCAGCTGTAGGGCAGCGGTCCAGCAGCTGTAGGGTAGCGGTCCAGCAGCAGTAGAGCAGCGGTCCAGCAGCAGTAGAGCAGCGGTCCAGCAGCTGTAGGGCATCGGTCCAGCAGCTGTAGGGCAGCGGTCCAGCAGCTGTAGGGCAGCGGTCCAGCAGCTGTAGGGCAGCGGTCCAGCAGCTGTAGGGCAGCGGTCCAGCAGCTGTACGGCAGCGGTCCAGCAGCTTTGTATTACCAGGAATCGGCAGGAATTCACTGTCAGGTTGTGATTGGTCACACGAGAGCAGGAGGCGGCCTATCAGCGGCTTGATCGAAGACCTTCAGTTGAAGTCGTTAGTTGTGCTTCAGAGGAGGAACCTGTTGCCTCTGTTGTTGTCCTGTTGCCTCTGTTGTTGTCCTGTTGCCTCTGTTGTCGTCCAGTTGCCTCTGTTGTTGTCCTGTTGCCTCTGTTGTTGCCCAGTTGCCGCTGTTGTTAAACAGTTGCTGCTGTTGTTTTCTTGTTACTGCTGTTGTTGTCCTGTTGCCGCTGCTGTTGCCCAGTTGCCGCTGTTGTTGAACAGTTTCTGCTGTTGTTTTCTTGTTACCGCTGTTGTTGTCCAGTCGCCGCTCTGCCACATTGTTCTTGTTTCATTCTTGTTACATTGTTGTCCTGTTGCCATTGTTTTTGTGCCTCTGTCGCTGATGTTGTAATGTTGCCGTTGTTTTTGTGCCTCTGTCGCTGATGTTGTAATGTTGCCGTTGTTTTTGTGCCTCTGTCGCTGATGTTGTAATGTTGCCGTTGTTTTTGTGCCTCTGTCGCTGATGTTGTAATGTTGCCGTTGTTTTTGTGCCTCTGTCGCTGTTGTTGTAATGTTGCCGTTGTTTTTGTGCCTCTGTCGCTGTTGTTGTAATGTTGCCGTTGTTTTTGTGCCTCTGTCGCTGTTGTTGTAATGTTGCCGTTATTTTTGTCCCTCTGTCGCTGTTGTTGTCTTGTTGCCGTTGTTTTTGTGCCTCTGTCGCTGTTGTTGTCCTGTTGCCGTTTTTTTTGTGCCTCTGTCGCTGTTGTTGTCCTGTTGCATGGTAGATGACATGTCATGATTATATTGTGATGTCATGATGGCTTGGACAACTGTTGATGAGCAACACGCGGACTAACTTCAGTCATTGCTTCTTAGCGTAAACCCATGACTGATACGCTGGTGCTGATATACCAGACATACCATTCAGTCCCTAAGATAAAGAGTTGCGTTGACATACCAGACAAACCAATCAGTCCCTAAGATAAAGAGTTGCGTTGACATACCAGACATACCATTCAGTCCCTAAGATAAAGAGTTGCGTTGACATACCAGACAAACCAATCAGTCCCTAAGATAAAGAGTTGCGTTGACATACCAGACATACCATTCAGTCCCTAAGATAAAGAGTTGCGTTGACATACCAGACAAACCAATCAGTCCCTAAGATAAAGAATTGGGTTGACATACCACACCACGCTAGGGTCAGTGCTAAGGTCCCTCTAACAACAGTACGTGGATCGTGGGTCAAAGCCTTTGCTGCTGGGGAGTCACGTGGAGCCTAAATGGGTCACTGAGTCGAGTGGGTCACGTGGAGCCTAAATTGACTCAGGATGACTCTCTGCAGTGCCCTGTATTTTCAACGCGTGCTGTGCTCTTATTTTCCGCATCACATCTTGTCGGACACAGCACAGCATCACATAAATACAGCAATATTTTGAAGAGATGCACCATAACTTATCTCATTGCCATTGTGCCGGATATTTTTTTATGGCCGCATTGCATAGTGGATAAAAATTTTACATTTAAAAGTGAAATTCATTGCTTGTACTTTGCGAACACTTCTCGATATATGATCCAAATCCTGAACGTCATTAAAACCAATTTTAAACTTGCAATAAATTCTAGACATTTCAGCTTATTATTTATCCACCATTCGCAAAGCAATTTCAAATGCACTGAATCATTCACGAATGCTAATTATATGAGCATATCTTTTCAAACCTCGTACAACTTCGTAATTCATCCATAAGTTCGTTCAAAATTCCCACAGATTTATAAATTTCCCTTCTATTCCCTGAATTGCCCAAAATTCCCCCGAAAACCTCAAAAAGCTTCGAACAAAACCACTCATAAGAAATTCGTTCGCTGACTTCTAAGATCGCTAATGAAATTCACGAGGTCGGCAAAGATTGTGGTGCGCGCAACAATGTCGCCGCACTGCGACATCTAATAAACAGGCGCGTTTTTGCGTGCGCGGATCATACATTGCATGATGCAATAATGTTTTGAGCGCTGCATTGCTCCTGGGGCGGTCAAAAGGAAACTCTTTGAAGCTTTGACGAGCCGTCGACCGAGGCAATGTTTGCCCGCGCCACGCTTGTGTTGCCGCGCAAAGAACGGCCTCCGTAAACACGCCCTTAATTCCCGCCGGGCAAGCGTATTGGCTGCGGGTGTTGCGGGTGGTGCGTGTAGTGTGTTGCAGGAGGTGCGTATAGTGTGTTGCAGGTGGTGCGTGTAGCGTGCTGCAGGTGGTGCGTGTAGCGTGTTAGGTGAAGCGTGTAGCGTGCTGCCGGCTGTGCGTATTGCGTGTTGCAGGTGGTGCGTGTAGTGTGTTGCAGGTGGTGCGTGAAGCGTGTTAGGTGGTGCATGTAGCGTGCTGCAGGTGGTGCGTGTAGCGTGTTAGGTGGAGCGTGTAGCGTGCTGCAGGTGGTGCGTGTAGCGTGTTGCAGGTGGTGCGTGTTGCAGGTGGTGTTTTGCAGGTGGTGCGTGTAGCGTGTTGCAGGTGGTGCGTGTAGCGTGTTGCAGGTGGTGCGTGTAGCGTGTTGCAGGTGGTGCGTGTAGCGTGTTGTAGGTGGTGCGTGTAGCGTGTTGCACGAGGTGTGTGTTGCAGGTGGTGCGAGTAGCGGGTAGGAAAAAGCAGAGTACAATGGGCAAAAGATTAAATGAAAAATAACAATATTTTTTAATTTTTAACTACGAAAAGCTGAATAAAACTAAGCGTAAAATCCTTGGTTACATTGCTAACAATTTCAGCAATGATTACTACTGCTCTATAGCATGCAAATTAAATAATTTAAATCAATAATAATATGAATTATATATAAAAATTCATGTATAAAATTTGTCGCTTCAGTACCTCGGGTCGGGGTACTGCAGGGACTGTCAGTGGGGTACATATTGAGGACATTTACCTCATTATGATATCATCAAAATTAAAGTCAAATTTCTGGTTAGAATTTAGTCTTTTTGTTGTTCCGCATTTAGAAGAGTTCGGTAGAATGACATATATACATACAGTTTCCCAACATACTGTTTCCCATGTACAAGATTAGCAGCATGATGAAATTTTTCTCTACGACCCAAGTGAGATATTTTATATTATCGTCTTATTCTTATTTTGGTTGTGTTATTAAGTCTACATTGTATGTTTTCGGCTGAGTGAAATTAAATTCTACTTGAACGCAATCATGGAGCTTTGGTTCTCTCTGCAATGGTTTAAAAGATTTTAAATTTTTTTCCTAAAAATGTAATTCTTCGAGCCCCAGTCAGTGTGTACCGGTCTTGAACTTATTATTTAATGCACACGATGGTGAAATGAACGCTGATCACACATCAATATATGCTTTAGATGAATAATGTACAATACGGAATTTTTCCCTTGATGGAGATGACGAAGAGCCTGGTATTTTTTTCGATGAATACTTGGCGGCGAACGGACAATTTCATTTTTCATATTATCAGGTCCTGGCTAGAAGAATGATAAGGTCATGGGACATTGACACTATACCAGTGCGCCCCAAGCCAATATTTTGGAATTATTCGGTCGAAATTTTAACAATAATAGACAAAGTAACTATTGATCATAAGTAATTTATTTTGAACGCATTATATAACAATTAATCATACAGGGAAGCTTAAGCTCGAGAAATAGGCTATTTTATTACACTTAATGCACAATGGAAAATATATAGTCGGCTTATCTTAAAACAAAATATTGCTTGCTGAGGATTGCAGGACAGAGCAACACGTGTCTCTGCCTCGACTTACTTGTCTGCTATTACTATCTTATACTTCTGTTCAATAATATTTTTCAATGTTTAAAATAATTAACGTGTCACACTGCACCCTACTTTTCCCTACAGCTAGTGCTAGTAGCGCGTGTTGAACATGGTGCGTGTAGGCCGTGTTGAAGATGGTGCGTGTAGGCCGGGTTGAAGATGGTGCGTGTGTGTGAGCCGTGTGGAAGATGGTGCGTGTATAACATGGTGCGTGTAGGCCGTGTTGAACATGGTGCGTGTAGGCCGTGTTGAACATGGTGCGTGTAGACCGTGTTTAATATCTTGCACGTAACACGTGTCAAAGTTGGAGCGTGAAGCTGATCAGTGGAGCGAGTGTTGCTGCTGGTAAACAATGCCATTTGCTTTGCAGTGAAAAACAAAATAAGTAAAAACTCGCAAATTTTTTTGGAGGCAACTTTATTAAAAATAGATACCGAAAGCTATTAAAATCTGAACAATTTCTTATTGCTTTCGCTTGATCATGAAATAAAACCCAAGACCGTTCAGAAAAGCTTTTTTTTCGAGTGAATTTTAAATTGATAAGAAATGTATAACACGACGAAAGGTTCACGTTCATGTGACGCAGAACCATTGATTTCAGCGGCAGGAAACTCAGCAGTGGTTCTGATGCAGCAAATCATTGAGTTTTGCACAATAAGCTGGTGATCTGTGAGCGCTTTTCCAGGACTCGACAACTCGAAGCCACGGCAAAAAATCTCCTGCTTTTGCAGTGCAGTCCCATATTTTTTGCTAGGCATATAGAGAAGAGCTCCGACAAACGTACATTAGTGTAATAGGATTACGCACGGCGCAAGTTCTTCGCTTGCTATTTAAGAGTCGGCATTTTCTGTGACATTTGACGACACGAGCCCCAGTCAGTGTGTACTGGACTTGAACTTATTATTTAATGTACACGACGGTGTAATAAACGCTCATCACACATCAATATGTTCGAATAGTTTGCAATATTTTGCTATATTAGGCAATACTCTGTTATTAGGTTGCATGGACAGTCGAGGATTAGGATGGACACTAAGACTATATCGCACACACGCACATTTATCCTCCCGATTCTGAACAAACATCTATCTACTAACATGTATCTAACTGTAGTTCAAACACAAATAATAAAAATTTTATCACAATCTCCATCCAAGGCAGACATCGTCGCTTCCCCAAGCCTATCAAGCCCCCATCGTAGCAACGCCCCACCCTAGCGTAGCTACTACAGGCTGCAATCATTATGTTGATGCAATATTATTAAATAATTTCGTTATTTAGTACCGATGATGTGCGTGACGGTGTTGGTGAGGAAATGCTGAATAATCCATGGCAGCGACTAATAATTCATGGTCGAGATCAGCAGCTGGCATTATCTCTGACTTCGACGCTGGAAGTCTAACTCATGGGTCGTAATTACCTTTGAAAACTATAACAAAAGTGAAGTCTGCAATCAAAATTACAGAACAACGTACAATTTTGGAGGCTTGTGTAGAATACATTTAATTCCGGAAAGCCTATGCACTTTAGTGAATGTATTGTACCCGTTGACCTTAACACTTTGACTCCGATTGCTTCATCTTGTACTATTATTTCATTTTTTGTACTCTTTTTAAACAGGGTTGCCAGACGGTCCTTTTTTCCGGACAAATTCCGTGATTTAGTTTTTCTCAATTGTGTTGGCTGGCTAAAATTTACGATAGGCGTGCTTCCTAATTAAATTTTAAATACTGCTAAAAGAAAATAAATGGAATTTTTATAGCGGAACCTACAAATAAACTAGTATACATTGAGTTATCAACCTTTTTTGGCCATTTTTGTTCTCGGATTTGGCCGATTTTAGGCAACCTGAATTATGTACCACTACGTCCTAGAGAAATATATTTCGCGGTACGCATATGTATCACTTCGGAGTCAACATGTTAAATTAAAATATTCAAAACTTACGATGTATTCATAACAGCGCAGGAGAAAATGGATCGGATTCGTGGATACAAGGTGGTAAGGGACTATATACCAATTCAATTCAATGTTCCTGAGTTATTACTTTCGAGATGGTAGACCATTATTATACCTCAGGAAAAACAATGAACATTTCAATCAAGTAATCGTACGACTGCCGTAAATTAGTCTTTACTAAGTTATAATATCATTAATGATCAGAATATATTACGCCTCAGTACTCACGAGCTTGTTCATCAAACTGTTTCATATAATAATAAACATACGAATAAATATAAACAACGAGAAATATTACCTAGCAGAGGTGGGCAGTAGCGCGCTACATTTTCAGTAGCGGTAGCGGTAGCGGTAGCGGCGTTACATCTAAGCAATTGTAGCGGTAGCGGTAGCGCCCGCTACATTTAGAGCATGTAGCGGTAGCGGTAGCGCCCGCTACATTTAGAGCATGTAGCGGTAGCGGTAGCGCCCGCTACATTTAGAGCATGTAGCGGTAGCGGTAGCGGCCACTACATTTCAAAGAAGCGCTGCCCAGCTCTGTTACCTAGTACAGTTACCTAGTACCGTTACCTAATGGTAACCTAGTAACGGTAACCTAATGGTAACCGTTACCTATTAACGAACACTTATGGTAAGGTGTGGCCGCTACCGTCGCTGTGGTCATTGTTTAATAGGAGCTATTATAAGCAACACTTGGTCCCAGTATTACGATTGCCATGAAATATGAATGATAAGTAAAAGGACGATTTGATGCCCCCACAGTACGGTCACTGGTTACGATTAGCTACGCCTCAATGGTATGACTGGTACCTACTATAGTGTTAGTGGTTACTATATACGGGCTACTGACTGCACAGTATATTTGGTACTCACTTCATTGGATTGTCTGGAGTGGTCCTGGTAGGAGCCTCCGTACCCCGCCTTCTGGTACGGCAGCAACATCGACGAAAACTGCTGGTGAGGGAACGCTGGTTAGATAGTATTGATCACCTGCATGGTCAGGGCATAGACTACACTGAATAGTCATTTATGTCAAGTTTATAAAGTAACATTTAAATAAAATAAAATGTGTGAAGGTACTTGCATCGCTAGCAATGGGTAGACTCCACTCATGTCCCTTCTTATAACACATGTTCATTGTACATATGCACAACTAAAAGTACATCATTTGCTGGACAGTTCTTCATGATGATTATTTAAGCATTATAATAACAGCTTCTTGTTTATAACGATGAGTTCCTAAATAAAAAAAAAATGTGGGGCTGATTTACATTCTAATGTCGTTTCTGCTTTTACTTAATTTAGTTTAAAAAGTTTTCCTACGCTTAAATTTTCGTGAGATTTTTCCCCTACCATCTAAGATTGATGTTCTTTATTTTTTTTTGCTGAGTTTACACGACTTGGCTTTTTCTTCACTGGGGCTTCCGTGCAATTTTTTACATTTTTTTCGAGGTGAAATGCGGGGCCGTGAATATCGACCTGAGGCGCTCGGTGACGAGCGGACTAATGGCGACCAAAATCTGGGAGCGCAGCCACTGCTATAGCAGGCGACCGGGAGACGAGAGACGGTTCCGCTCTGGGGACGGGCGAGAAGACGTGAAGACGGAAGACGGTGGGACAGAGACTTTGAGACGGGGAACGCTAGAGGGACAGGGAAAGTTGCGACAGACTGAATTTAGGAAAGTTGACTTTGAGGACTTTGACACGAAGGACTTTGAAACGAAGACTTTGAGGCGGGTGACTTGAGGTGAAGGACCTTGAGACGGAGTACCGAGACGCAGAGGACTTTGAGACGAAGTACCTAGACGCCGAGGACTTTGAGACAAAGGTCTTTAACGCAGAAGACTTTGATTTGGAGGACTTTGACTCGGAGGACTTTGACGCGGAGGACTTTGACGCGTAAGACTTTGCAACGGTGGTTTTTGACGCGGAGGACTTTGACGTAAAGGGCTTTCACGCGTAAGACTCATGTCCCTGCAGGTTACCCTCGGCAGTCGGAGTGGGGTGCACGGACGGCTTAACCGAGGATGATGTTAGCGGGAGGGGATACTATGTTGAATCGAAATAAGACCATGTTATATGGTAAGGAAACGATGTTAAAATGGCAGGAGAACGATGTTAAAATGGAAGGTAGACAGTGTTTATTGAGATAATGTCTACTTTATTATGTGGAAAAAATCTGCAATCGGCGGTAATGAGAGGTAGTTTTGGGGGGTAATCGATTGAATCAAGCCCCATTTGTCGATATGTGTCAATCAAGTTCCATTTGTTGAAAAATCTGTGCAGGAAATAAGTACGATGCTCACATACTGTAAGTAAGGGAGGTATTACCTCAGCCTAAAAATGCCACCATATTCGAAGGTCTGATCTTTCATCAGGGATTATAGGACTAGCTGCATCAGCATCACTGCGACGCTGGGAGTAGTCGGACTATCTGATGATTCAGTGAGTAAGTAATGCCACCAACCATGAGGTCGAATAACCATATTAAAAGTTCCTGATTATTCGGGGACGTTCTTTCGGCGGCCACCGAGGAAACATCCTCGATTCACCGTAAGCTGCGCGCCAGATGCAGCACAAGCGTATTGGATGACATTTAGCCGACATTAAAGAATGATTGCCAGACCGTAACGGAAAAACGTTGAGTAATGTCACAGCGCGGAACCGTTACGAAGTTATACTTTGTTGTTCACTCAATAGACAAAAGAAGTGTTCCACGTCAAACTAAATTCCAGGTACCTTGTGGGTTTTTGATTATGGAAAGTTTAAATGGAGGACATTTAAGTTCATGAATGCTGTTTATTAAATCACGTTATGCAATTCGTTGTATTTTTTTGACATATGAATTCTGCTAAAAAGTAACTTTGTCTAGCTAAATATTGTTCTCTTCAACTTCCGGTTAAATGAATAATAGACGAAATTTTGCTCGTATTTAAAGTCGTTTTCTGCTCACGAACACGTTGTCGTCTCATAACTTCAAGCCTTTATTAATTCTCTTCGGAAAAAATTATCAGTGGATTTGCACGGAACTTCTTACGATGCATTCAGGTTCCGAGCAAAAACTTATCGCTCGTTACTATAGCTCCGGAAGGCATGGATAGTTTGAGCAGAGGTCCTCGCGTCTTTTTTGTAATGCGGAACTATTTTGAATAGGTTTTTTTAATACGGAACCATAATGTGAATGGTTTTTGTAATACGTATTCAAGACGTATTATATGTTACATAGTACTAAGATAAATAAACTATTTTTATACGAAACCCTGATGAAAAACTTTTGTAATACGGGACCCTGATTAAAAGTCTCGAGTAATATGGGGCCCTGCTGACAATTCAATTGTAATTCGAAGGACTGATGAAGTCGGAGTTTGTAATTCGATGCTCCGCTGAAGATCACACGGTGGCTTCGCTTCGGTAAAATTGATCTTTATTTTCGTCCAGCGGAGGAACGAATGACCTTTGAATAGAGAACGTGGACGGTGCGGCGGGATTGCAGTACGCGGAGCCATGCAGTTGCACATTTGAAAATAAATGTGAATTATCAGCTGCCTAACATCTATCATCACGTATATCTGTATTTCGGTCCTGCATACAGAAGAAGAATTATTCTGGGATGATTGAATTTGATACAACGAATAATTAGTGGTCTGCTGATGATATGACTGCCTTGTTTAGGCCACGACTTCAAATTAAACAAGGAAAAGGTACATATTCTGTCATGGGCATTTTCCGAGCAGCTGAATCACGTCCACCAACAGTACTGAGATAATTTAAAATAAGAAAAGCATGTAATCTGGATCACTCAGCGATTATTGCACATTAATCGCCTACGCTGTTTTGCATAAGCGCGCTACTCGCACTCAGCTGCCAGTCGGGATTACGCTCAGGGCGCGGTGTGGCTGTAAGTCCGGAGCCTCCAGCGGGACGTTTCACATCAGACACCTGACGTCGAAATAAATCGTTGAAATAACGTCTATCAAACGTTGATTATATAAATGAAACGTTCTTCAACTAAATCTACTAGTAAAAAACGTTGTTTCAACGTCATTTGGTTGGAAGGAATTAGGCTGGCGGGGTGCGACGACCAGGAGCATCCTTGCGTCGTCGCAAGCTAGGGCGAGATGCTCGAATATTATTATGATCCTCTACACTGTCTGTCTATCACAGTCCAGGCTTTGAAGAGGTTAATTGGTAGACACTTAGGATGAATTATAGTGTATTTCCAGAAAGTAGCTGACGTAGAAGTTCTTGAAAACTTAATTGAATATGTATTATTTCTCAACATTACGTACGTTGGGCTGCGATTTCTGTTTCATGCCACTTTTAGGGAATAAATGGTATCCTAGGCGTCCAGAACTGACTTCTAAAACAAATAAATTTTCCTGAGATTTTATTCTAATCCTTCAGTTTGCCGGCTGCGCTAAAGCGACAGGACGGCTCGATTGAAAGTCTCATGAATGACTAGCATCACGTTTGTTATCAGGCTCATTATCAGGGGCCATACTTTCAAATTTGCTAAGTGAATGTAAGTACTTACGCTCTATTTTTTGTCTATGATTGGTGAATTTTGCTTGAAAGGCCGTCAATGATTGGCAGATGAACTTACGATCTCTTAACTTTTTTTGAAAGTATAGGCCCAGAGGACGGTTATTACGACATGGATGTGAAACTACTTAATTAAGGAGGCACAAGATCTTGCGGGATCAGAGTATAGATCAAGATCGCGGTCCCCCATCATCTATAGCCTCACTATAGGCTGCAAGATTATAGGACATACAGCGACAAGCATGATCAACTATTTTAATGAACACAAATGCACGTGACTCCGAGACATTGATTTGGTTATTAAGTCCGAACCACGATGCTATATAGCGTCCTAAGGTAAATAGAGCACGGGCTGATCACAATTTCTACGCCCGGCCATTGGCATTATAAGGTTGGCCTTGATTAGCTCAAAATAGAGAATATTTCATGCGATGATTTCAATTTAGTTGTTTATCGGACCATTTTTCGCCTACTCGTTTTCGGCGCATGAGTTATTTACCGCGGAAAGATGATGAAAAGAAACAAAACAAGGGAAACTATTAATTTCTGGATTCAATGCCAACTTGTCAAATCATTTTGTGGTCACTTCAGCTCAGCTTTGGCTCGTGATGACGCAGGTATGAATAAGACTATACAGTTGTTAGACTGTCTGTCTTGGTGAGTCATTGATATTTAGGTTTAATTTCTGGCGCTGGTTGTGTTATACTCACGTCATCTGTTAGCTACGCAACTCAGTACGCATCACAGGCGTTACTTGTCGTGACGCTAAAGCCCTTCTGTTTGGGCCTCCATCGAGTGGCGAGGTTTCATTCATGGCCGCTTCATTCCATTCCATCGGGGAGAAAATTACGCCATGTGTACAATAGCATGAAGGCCTCTGTATGTGTACAGCTAATGCCCTCAACATAGCATGATGGCCGCTGTATATGTACAGTCAATGCCCCAACAGTAGCATGAAGGCCGCTGTATGTGCACAGTAAATGCCCCAACATTAGGATGAAGACCTCTGTTTGTGTACAGTCAATGCCTTAACATTAGCTTTATGGCCGCTGTACGTGTACAGTCAATGCCCCAACATTACCTTGATGGCCGCTGTATGTGTACAGTCAATGCCCCAACATTAGCATGAAGGCCTCTGTATGTGTACAGTCAATGCCCCAACATTAGCATGAAGGCCACTGTATGTGTACAGTCAATGCCCCAACATTACCTTGATGGCCGCTGTATGTGTACAGGCAATGCCCCAACATTAGCATGAAGGCCGCTGTATGTGTACAGGCAATGCCCCAACATTAGCATGATGGCCGCTGTATGTGTACAGTCAATGCCCCAACATTAGCATGATGGCCGCTGTATGTGTACATCAAGCACAAAATTCGCCAACTTTTATGGCTAATTTTAATCAAAAAGTT